TTGGTCACACCTCAGGAGTATCATTTCAAACGGATAGCACAACAGGAAATTTTCCTCCCCTTAATTAACCTTTCACCTGCGGAGTAATCACGGTATATCCTCGCCATAAAATTGTCTACACACTTTTAAGTGGAAAAGTTGTAAGGAATCCTTGAAAAAGATAGCAGTATCTACACGTATCAGAAACCATATCAGAAAAATTTTCCCAATGTTATTCATATGGTTTTTTCATTATCGGGGCATGAGATAATTAATGTTTGATACCTGAGGTGTTTGGTGAAATGTTTACATTCGTTTTACCTGTCTGATTTCCGCCTCCAGTGCAGATTTTGTTACTCAACTACCTTTTGAGAATTTTGTTAATTCGTGTACTGGATTTCAGCGTAGCCGAATGAAAATATTTCGTAGTAGTCGATAGTTGGCCTAAAATAACCAATTCTTAATCAACCAAAATTTTACTAATTTAGATCGTAGTTAGTCAAACTCGATTGTTATAGTATTTAGAATTACTTAGGATAAAACGATACACAAAGAAATTGAGAAAAAAAAAGTATTATCGCTAAACCAACCCAAAGCTAGCCAAAGTCATAGCTTACTTAAAAAAGCCTTCCCAACATTATTAATATGGTTTGTCATTAGTATGGCATGGGATAATTAATATTTGATAACTAAGGCGTTTGGTGAGTTGTTTACGTTCGTTCTACCTGTCTGATTTCCGCCTCAAGTTAAGATTTTATCTTTCAACTTCGAAACAGTGCTCTTTACTTTTGTAAATTTTGTTGATTCGCAAACTGGATTTCAATGTAGCTGAATGAAAATCTCTCTAAATAGTTGATAATTGCCATAAAAGACACCAATTTCTAATTAACCAACACTTTCAAGTACTAACTTATATCGCAGTTTAGTCAAACTTAAGCTAACTTAATTTTTACAGTATTCAGAATTACTAACGATAGAGCGATAGACTGAAGGAAATAGAGATGTAATAGATGTAAATAGGTAAATGGTTTACGTTGAAGTATCCTTCGAGAATCAAGCATTTGATTCTGTCTGACGCATGGGGATTTGCTATTTTACCCGCTGGAATTGTAGACAGACACCCAGTAGCTTACTTACATTTCAAAGTCGTAAGAATCCCGCTTTGATATCTTTACTGCAAGGTCTCCGGATGAACGCCTTCCCTAAACGAAGGATAAACGTTTTCAAAGAATATATAATTTATTTGTGACATCAATGTGCGTGATAAAGGAATGTTACAGGTTCAATCCAATTAGCAATTAAACTTAAGTACTACAGACCCGTATTACAATCGATGAATACTATTTATCCTAGAAACGACTTTAAAAAGTGTGTCTTATTAACAAATTGTTGGAAACAAAATGTTCACCTTCAATAAATATATTTAAAGCTTTATAATGAAAAAAAAAAGAGACAAAAAAAAAAAAACAAAACATCCAAGCTGATTAAGATCTATCTTGTATCATCCCGTTATCGTCCAGCACCCGTGATTTCCGTCCCACCATCGCTACAATTCAGTAAACCTTTGACATTGATTTCGATTCATTTTAGAAAGAAAGAAAAAAAGGAAAAACGTAAATTTTAGTGGAATGTACGTTTCATCAGTTCAAGGACCGCCACTTTATACATTTGTCTATCTTTTCATTTTCAGCCATCTTATTCCCTCTTTGTTCACCTTTTCTATTTCAATATTTTTCCCTAAAACCATTTTTAAATCCACATTTTGGTTCACTTTAACTTGACGAAGTGTCGTTACGTGATCCATTTTAAAATCGAAATTTCACTTGGATCAATACATTGAAACATATAGACAAAACATTGAGGTACAATGGATAATATTGATACCTTTTTCACACTGACTCTTTAAATTCTGCTTGTAATTTATTTTAAAATGTAGCCGGATGAACTACTCTAACAGCCACCAGCTTCCTCGTCAAAAAAGGCCCCAAAGATGATGGCTTAATGAAAATTCATAAGTCCAAATCAAAATCAGCCGGTTGAACAACAATTTAACGCACTCTGGGTATTTCACTGTCTCAAAGGAGTATCCACAGAAGCCCTTGTTCAGTCTGTTTTGCCATTTTAATGAATTGCAGGTCATTACCACTAATTAACTTTCTCCACAGGAGATAAAGAAATAATACCTAAGTACAACCGTTTGCCTGACAGGATATTTTTGCGAGAGAAGGTAGAGTGTCTCATTAATTTTTAATCTTTTGCAACGAACAACCTGATTAACTCTATTATTGGTTTTTTCACTGAGCTCAGCGAGGCGAAGAAATAGCAAACGATATTGACACGAAGAAATAGCAAACGATATCGACAAGTCGACTACGAAATTATCTATCATGGATGAAGTTAATACAGGGTCATACTCCACTTTCTCATAATCATAAGCATTTCACCTATTATGTGGGCAAGGTGAGAAAAATATTTTGGGGGCCACGGTTTTAGCTAAAATTGTGGCTCCCAAAATATTTTTCTCACCTGGCCCACAAAATTTTCAAATTTCTCACAACTTCGCCTGTTCCTGTTCGTATGTCCGGCAAAGCCTTTATGGTCACTGGCCTCCGTATAGCTGCTAGCTGTGGCTTGTAAATACAGGCATTTAGTTTTAACTTGTAAAACTCCCTGACGAAGTCTACGACACTAGACAAAATGCGTCAGAGAATAAAGAAGTTTTACAACTACTGTTCGCAAAGTGCTGCTCACTAGTTCGGTTTTAAAAAAATTGTGTGAAGAAATTTAGAAAAAAAAATTAATTTAAAAATCAATTTTTATTTTAAAAAACTGTTAAAAAAATGTTTAAAAAACTGTTTAAAAAAATTATGAAAAAATTGATTAACTTTATTATGGATTTTTTCACTGAGTGCAGTGAAACAAAGGAATAGCAAACGATACTAATGAGTCGACTACGAAATGATCTATCACGGATGAAGTAAATACAGGGTCCTACTCCCCGTTCTCATAATCTAGGCATTTTACTTTAGGCTGAACAAAATTCCCCAGTCTAGAATTGATTGTAGGAGCACAGGAGGCCATTCTACTGCCACCTCTCGGTTAAAAAACAAACACACACAGTAAGACAGTGTTGACATTTCGGCCCTTGGAAAATTACCAGTCTTCAAAACGGTGACAAAGTCATAAATTAATCATATTAAAAAAAGGAATCCTTGTGGTGAGAAAGTTCATGTTTACATTACTACCTAAAAAAAACTCCAGCTGCACAATAAATGGAGAAATAATACCTGGGCGCGCTAGATATGGAATTTCTCTTTCTCGATAGCTCACGAGTAAGCGCAGAGAACGAATGAGATGTCTGTTTAAAAACGAGAAGAAAAATTTCATATTTACAAGCAACCGTGTATTATTTTGTTTGTAATATAAACACAATAGTCCTTCACTGACAAGAAAAGTTGACTTCATTAATAAATGACAATAAAAGGATCGACTATCTCCGAATAAAAATCGTAAAGTGTGTTGGCGCACTCAAAATGAAAATTGTGTGGAATTATTACAAAGGCAAACAATGGGCCTAATTTTCAATACATAAAATTTTCAGCTATTGAATTGGTCCTTACCGACGGAAGAAATATTTCAGGTACATGCCAAAATCGGCCTAGGGTAAATCTTCTAGTGCTCGATTTTCGTTCTCAGCCGTGAAAAATTCCATTACCAAAGGCACTGAATATGTAGGTTTCGGCTTTTCTTTTCGTATTTTGGTTTTCTTCCTCTCCTAGCAAAGTTTGAACGTCACTGTCTGTTAGCGGTAAGGATTTTTTAGTGTTTAACAGCCATAAATTGAAAAAATTTTGACAAACGACCTTGGATTGGGAATGGTGAAGGCTTTGCCGTTTATTCATCAACCAGACGAAGTGGCGCGAAAGGGGACTGACGTGTCAGCAGCTGATCGGCGATATCAAACACACGTGAAAAGAATTCGCATTTTTTCCTGCGTGTTGTTACGGCTTTTCTGAGGGCTGGAATCCACGTCTAACACCGTAGTTTACATGATAATCCTGCAATATAACTGATAGCGTAGGATTGTTTTTCAATATGAATTTCTATAAAAATTCCTTATAAGAAAAAATAAGCCTCATGGCAAGAACGTTCATCGCCTCAGTATGTCCTATCGGAAACTTCAGCATCGGCAAAAATATACGGGAGATTGATGATCTCAAAAGGTGCCACCAAAAGTAATATGTTTTATTCTCAGAGAAAAAAATAGCCATGTAGCAAGAGTTAACATGATCCCAACACAACCTAAGTTACACGTGAATTGCTAATAACTAAATATCTTCCCTGACTTTGGTGTGATATAGCACATACCGGCCTTCCCATAAAAAATTCTGTACCACTATTCAAATTCATTACAAAATATACTCCTCGTAGCAAGATAGTACATTATCCCAATAAAACCTAGGAATACATATGTATTTAAATATTTCTCAATAACTTGAGATGTAGCATATATACTTACCCATGCAAATTTCTGTAATCGAATTCTTATTTGGTTCCAGGTTTTATCAATCTAATTACAAAGTTTATTTGTTGTTACTTCAAAATATTATCTCACGAAGGGTTGAGGGGTTTACAGGTTGCAGGAACTCGCTTTCTTGTCGCGCCTCTATCTAAAACAAATAAGATTACGCGCTATGAGCAGTTCAGTCTTCTCAAAGTGCACCTCATCTTTGATTCTCTGTTTAGAAAAAAAAAACAGTTTTATGTTGCTGCTTCTACCGTGGTTAAAAAAAATATTTATTTCATAGGTACTGAGATTTACCCACAAAAATCGTAGTGAATAAAATTCGTACTGATTCTAAATGTAGCCAATCAGGAGTACGAACGACAAAATTTCACCGTGAAAAATTATCGTTCGTCCAATCAGCAACGCGAACGACGAAATTTCACTAATGATGAATGAACGTACTGAAGAGAACGTCATGCGAGAGCCGTTGCACAAAACCCGCGCGCTTTGAAAAATGGCTGAGGGAAGGTTCGCTTCTGTTTACTCAGTTGAAGAATTCATTTTAGAACACGAAAACAAAAATACCGCTCAAAAAACTGAAAGAGATGTAAGATTGCTTGAAAGATTTTTGAAAACGAAGGACGAAGACAGGAAAATTGAAGATATTCCAGAGGCTGAGTTGAATGAATTCATTAGCGAATTTATTATCTCCGTACGCACTAAAGATGGCAACGAGTACGAGCCGACTTCGCTTCGAAGTTTAATGGCCAGTTTCGAACGACATTTGAAGAAAAAGGGCTATTCTGCCAGCATAATCAACGACTTGGTCTTTGAGAAAACCAGAAAAGTTCTTCAATCCAAGCAAAAGCAGCTAAAGAAGCAAGGAAAAGGGAATAAACCGAAAGCATCGGTAGCTTTGACAACCGAAGAGTTAAAGATATTGTACGAGAAGGGTTTGCTCGGTATGTGTAGTCCTGAGGCGCTATTAAACACGCTCTGGCTAAACAACACTCTTCACTTTGGACTCCGTGGGTGCAAAGAACATCGTGACATGAAGAGAAGGGTTTGCTCGGTATGTGTAGTCCTGAGGCGCTATTAAACACGCTCTGGCTAAACAACACTCTTCACTTTGGACTCCGTGGGTGCAAAGAACATCGTGACATGAAGAGAAGGGTTTGCTCGGTATGTGTAGTCCTGAGGCGCTATTAAACACGCTCTGGCTAAACAACACTCTTCACTTTGGACTCCGTGGGTGCAAAGAACATCGTGACATGTGTTGGGGAGATGTAAAGCTTCACAAAACGGCAAACGGAGTGGAATACTTGGAGTTCAATGAACGTCAAACGAAAACTAGAACTGGCTCAGACTACAGCAATGTCAGAGCTGTACCGCCGAAAATGTTTGCGACCGACGAAACTGAAAGAGATCCTGTCGCAGTCTACAAATTTTTTGCCAGGAAGAGACCCGAGGAAATGAATCAAGACAATGCTCCCTTTTATCTGGCCGTAAACAACGGTTTAAAGGCGGACTCGCTCGCAAGAAAAAGCTGGTTCAAGTCCGGTGCGGTTGGCGTAAACAAACTCAACGGTTTAATGAAGACAATGGTGCAGAAAGCAGGAATCGAAAACGACAGGCTTCGAAATCACAGCGGCAGAAAGACAATGATCCAGACGCTAAGTGAAAATGACATTCCCCCTACGCAAATTGCACAGCTATCTGGCCATAGGAATTTGAAGAGCATAGAAAACTACAGCACTGTTTCAACGAAACAACAGATGCACATGTCAAAAGTGCTAAGCAGTGTGGTGGCTGGTACCCCAGCTTCGTCCTCTTCTGAAACAGCTCGTCTGTCGTCCTCCGACTCCCAGAATACCGGTAAGCAGTTCATGGCACTATTCAGCGGAGCTGTAATTCAAGGTGGTAATTTTTCCATTCATATCAACAAAGTAAATCAGTCTCCGACGCTTACCACAGATCCGTCAAGTCACGAAGCGGCGAGATGGAAACGTCTGAGGCCTTTAGAACTGGAAAGTGACTCTGATGATAACTGAATATTGACTTTCTTTACATGACACTAAGTAGTTTGTTGGCATGACTTCCTTTATTATAATATTAATAGACATTGAACTTGATTGATATCTGATGAACACAGGTAAGCTTAAGTGTTATGAACTTTATGCACTTTTATTAACTTGTTGTTGAGAAATTTCTAAACTACTTTTTACGCTTTTCATCGCCCCATTTGTGCTATTTGTCTACCAAAGACACGAAAAAATCTCAGCACCTATGAAATAAACACATAACAGCATGGAAAATGCTTTGTACGATTTTCGTTCACTCGTTGATACATATCAGAAAACTCACTCGTTCGCTGCGCTCACTCGTTCGTTTTCTGATACTACACAACTCGTAAATAAAAATCGTACGCGCGCATTTTCCATGAAGTAATCTCTGTGTATCGGGGTCTACACATGGATAGCGTGAAATACCTCTTTCCGTAACAAGGGAAAAAACTGTTTGAATAATTTTTAACTAACCTTACATTCAGCAGCCCTATCGTGGTACATCCAACTACCCATTGGTTTCAAGCAAATAGAAACATGCGGAGAAAAATAAGGATATTATTTTTCTTTTCCCAGTTAGTGAAAAGAATTCAGCTTCCTCTTTTCTTACTACTATGCGACAAAGCTTATAGTTGAGGAGTAAAGTTTATGGTGTAACATCTTATGGCGTAACACTTATCGCAGTATTCTGTAGTTTGAAATAAAGAATATATTACGTTCACCAGTGTTCGGCAGAAGAATAGAAGCTAGTTGATAAGTGAATGAGTCTGTACTCGAGCCACGTTGCCCATCCAGCCGCAGTTTATTCGTTTTCCATACGGTATCAAGCGACCATGAGTATATCTTCTTTTCTCTGGACGGGAAACCAGCAGTTCATCGCAGGGTTACCTTCCCGCGTTTAATCCGGCTTCCCTGAGAATTTGCCGCTACCCAATTATACTCAGGCTGAGTGAAGGAAGGTGCAGTAAAAGTAAATTGTTTTACTATGGAGCAATAAACTGGCTAGTCTCGACCAGGAAGATAGGGCACCTACCATTTGGCCATTGGGTGTGTCTTATATGAAAGCTAGTTGATCAACTCATTTTTTCTTTATGATTATTTTACAACTTAGATCAGTAGATTCCTTGTCTTACCGTGAAAATAAGTAATACTTTTTTTGGCTGATAATGATTTTGACCTGAGGACACATTCTGTTATCGTGTGAAGTTGTTGTCAAACATATTGTTTGTTCTCTCTCTCTCTTTTTTTTTTAACTGTAAAGAACTGATAATTATTCGAGACCCAGAAGGAGGAGCTTGGAGGATTTTGGTTGTCACGATAACGTTAACCCTTTAACTCCCAAGATCTCATTAGTAATTCTCCTTACTGTCTGCTATACATTTCTTCTAATGTTACTTCTGAGAATTTGGTATTGGATCAACTTGTAATCCCCTAATTGATACTTTTCTTAGTTCTCATTACTTGCCTTCTTGATTTTGTATCGATATTGTAAGGAGAAATTATGTCTTGATTACTCAAGGGAGTAAAATGGTTAACCTGATCCCGTGTGCCATAAGGCTCTCAATTGTCCTTACGATTTCCCTTTATTGGCAGCATTTAGATAACTTTGAACCACTGGACCGCCGAACTCTAATTCCTGTCAATTTAATCAATCTCAGTCACCACATGAACAACAACAACAACAACAAAACTAAATATGCATAATTAGATATTGCACGCGGTCAAAAAGCTCCCTACACTAGCAAAGCATCTTTGATTTTCACTGACAGTCATTGAGACTAATTATGCAAGTGATCAGGCGCTTCGTGACAAAAATTAATCATGCATATTTCGAGGACTTGACAGGAGTATTTTTACGTCTTCATGCTTAAATGACGAAAAAAGCTTAAAGGTAACAAAACATATTTTAAGATGTTCTGGCTCATGACACCTCTTCTAGTGGCATAAGAAGCCTGGAACAAAGAGGCTGATATGTCCGATTGTAATTTACTTTTCACATTTAGCATCCCAACTGTAAGCTAAGTAAGAGCTAGTGTCAGCATGCATCAGACAAACAGCGGCAAGTCACCCAAAATTTGCTTTCACTCCTACTTTCATATTTTGTAGCCCAATATGTCCTGATAATTGTGGTGTAGTTTTTTTGTGAAAATATATTTTAGTTTCCGAGAAATGTGTTTATTTTTCGCCTTAAGTCGCGATTGGGAATTGGTCAATAGGCTACCAAAATCCAGACGGAGGCGGAGTTTTCTATACTAATGTCTGAACACTTTTTTGGCGTACAGCCGTCTGGCAGGACGCGTAATTATGCACACGGAGGTAAAGGGCCCTTCCGCGCCGCACAAGTACAGACGCTGACAAGATTTGTCGTTGCTAAATTTCAAGTGTGTTGCACGTATCATCACCCCCCGGTGACACCTTTACATAACAGGGCAAAAACGACCCCTATAAAGTTATAAAAGGTACCCGAGTCTTATCTGGGGGAGAGTGGCAACAATTGATGTCTACCCTTAAAAAGTACCAATTCAAAAGCATAAAATTGAAAAATCCCAAAAATAAAAACTCCTCTATCGATGTGATCTATAGGCTCAAGTCCTAGTAATGCTCATTTCAGGTATTTTATTTAGCGAAAAACACCCTAAAACGTACCAGCTAAGTCTCTAGTAGTCCGCTAAAGTTTGAGACACCGTTAAATATACTAGATCGCTGATTTTGACCCCTAAAAGGTAGGACAAGCATCCCCGCCCATTTCTAATCGCCTCTCCCCCCGGTCAGCACCTAAAAACAAAGATTTGCCCCCTAGGGGGAAAAAAAAAAGTGATTTGCCCCAGTCGCCCCCATCTCAAAAATCCAATGATCCATCCCTAAGGTACCTTTTACAAAATTCCAAAATGAGTTTCGTTCCGGAACGAAATGAATTTCATGCCGTGTTTACATACAAGATAATTTAGCCTGTAAAAACAAGTATTTATGTCATTTTCTGTCTTTTTCTATGCTTCCCTCGCTCCTAAATAGGATTCATACAGATATAATTTTTGTACCGCGTTTACATTATTCAGGTACTAAAGGTCGTCCAGAATGAGTGTTTTGTTTTGGAATGAAAACCCCAATGAACTCATTTAGAAATGACTCATTTCGAATAAATTTTACTCTGGAATCATGTGGCAACCGATATGAACTCGTCCTTGAACAAAACTCATTCAGATATCATTCCGTAAAAGGCCCCTGAAAGTTTTTATTCCCGAAGCATCACGCTTTGCTCTCCTGTCTGAATACTATAAATTTCAATAGCGTTGAAGCAACAACCCGCTCTTAACTGCTTCGCTGCCACTTACACAACTGACCACAAAAAGCACATATTCTAATATTTTCTATTCAACCTAAGGAGAAATCTTTTCATAGGGTAAATATTCATTTGTGTCGGTATCAATTATTGCGTGACTAGCTTATGATATAAATGAGAGAGGGGAAAACACAACGCAAAACCTGGGCTCCTGTCAAAGAGTAATGCCCAGGCGTAATATAATAATCGAAACAGCTAATAAAATCATAATTAAACAAGGTAAGAGTGTTATGTTAGATTTTTTTCACAAATTGTAGTGATTTGTATAGGTAATCACATGAGGCCAAGTACTATTAAGGATTAATTGCACGAGAGTTTTCAAAATTTTCCAAAATTGCCCGAGTCGCGAAGCGACGAGGGCAATTTGGAAATTTTGAAAACTCAAGTGCAATTAATCCTTAATAGTACGAGGTCTCATGGGATTACTTGTTTATCAATAAAGGGCAAAATTTATACGAAGGAAAATCACGCGCGCAGTCTATTTTTATCTGGGAAGCAACGGATTAGCAATGCAACGCATTAGCCAATCATTAACAGGTAATCATGCCCTCTCTTGATTACTAAAAATGCCCTCGATTAAGAAAAAAATGCCCTCTCTCTCAACCAATCAGCGCTCAGTAATTTTATCCTTTATTGATAAATGCCAGTAAAGGCAAGTAGGCACATCATGTATATTTCATAGTTGCTAGCAAGTAA